GGTTTAGGGTTTTAGGGCTTGCCAAACTGTTGGCAGCATCTTCGGGGCGAGAATCGGAGCGGCGACGGCCATGCCGGCCTGTGCCGCCAGGCCCTACAACTGCGGCCACAAGAAGCCAGATGCTGGTAGCACAGCCTCGTACAGAGATGACATTAAAGGAGCTTCTTCTGAGAGATGCGGAGAGCTTCGAGACAGGTCAGGGCATTGATTGCTTGCCGGCCCAACCCTCAACCCCCACGAGGCGGATATCCCTAACTTAGGGGCATCCGTTTCATCAGTCGCAGTATGTCGCAGTTGCACGTCTCCCTGATTTCAGAGGAGGGGCTTTACTTCGAACCGCGTGTTATTAGCAGTGCTGAGCAGGCGCCTTGGAGACGATGCCGCTTGCCTTGGGTGCAACGTTTTCTGATCGGTGCAGCTCTCGGCGCCCCTGAGGGCCTCGGTGATCGCCGGGTCCCTGCAGCAGAAGCTCCTCGAGGCCTCAGAGCAGAGCTCAGCAGAGCTCAGAGCGAGAGCGGGCGTAGACGTCAGACTGAGAGAGCCATTCGCAGAGCTTCGCAGCCGAGCGGCAGCGGCGGACGGGCAGGGGCCCCCTCCTGAAGTCACGTGAACAGGGTTTCTAGGCACTATCAAGCAGGTCGATGCAACTCGAGCTTTTCAGACTCCACAATAAACGCCTGTGCCTCCTTGGAATCCTTTTTCTTTGCCAGGTGCAGCGGCCTCTGCAGAATGTGTGTCGGAGTCGAGGACCGGGAGGACGAGATCTGTACTCTAAGACTCTACGACGCTGCAGACATCAGATCCAGGAATGACAAAGGTCGGGAAAGTGAGCTCAGGACTTGAAGACCTCGCGCACCCGACTCTCGATTTGTACGAGCTGCCTGGGCCAACTCGGATCGGCGAAAAGACCAAAAGGCGAGGAGGCGAAGAGGCTTTCTTTGAGCTTTTTGCGGCCGCTTTGGCGAAATCGCTTTTTGCTGCTCAGCCGCTCCCGGAGCTTCGCCGCGCCCTCGGGCGGCGGCCAGGCGCGCTCGAAGTCCTCTGGCGCAGGCACTCTTATGCTTCACTCTTCAATGCGCCTGTTGTAAGCTTCATGAACGGCATCTGGCTCATGCCCAACCGGAGGCAGGTAGGGGAGCCCTGTTGGAGCATTCGTTGTAGGATCTTGATCTTTTGGGGTCTTCGTCGCTCGCTATGCTCGATTCGGAACCTTTTGCACCTGAAAGCTCAGGTGCGTGGGGCTTCCTGAAAGCATGGCCACCGAAGAAAAGGCCTGGCTTGTGAAGAAACCTCGCAAAGAAGCTAAGCCCGGCGGAGCCAAACTTCACCGAAGCAGCACAAGGAGGACGCCTTCCTGCTGCTGCCCGACCCCTATACCCTCATGCCCACAGCACCAATGTTTTCAGAAATCAAGAATGCATCGATGCCCGCACATCTCAAGAGTGGGGAAAACACAACATGCGAAGGCATCTGGGAACGGTTTCCACGGCACCGGTCTTGCCTGTGCTGTTCTGAATCATGCCCAGATTGTGACGGGCAACCCCAAAATTGGACTCATCTTTCTTGAAACTCACAGATGTGAGACTGAGTCTCCGGAACTAAGCAAGACTGACATCTCAAAATTCGGGCGCAGTTTGCGTCCCACACCTGCTGTCGGAACAAAAGCCATGGCTGTTCGCAAAATAAGCTGAGACTCTCTCCAAAAGAGCTCTCATCGCGGTTTAAAACGAATTGAAGCAAAGCTGACGTTTGGCTTTCAAAACTTGCTCCTGAGCTTGCTCCGCATCGCACAGGCACAACTTCAATCGCCAGTCAAGCAGAGTTATCTCATTGCCCGCTCAAGCATTGGGCTTGCTGAGGATGGCTCTGCCTCGCCAGATCATAGCATGCATGTGCTGAGCCACACAGCAATAGCTGGGCGTTGGCTGCTGAGGCCATGGCCAGCTCATCCAGGATGGAGTTTAAGGTCGCCAGCGATTGGGTGGCCACCTTGACCTGGCGTCAGCCAAGAGTGGTCTGCGGGATGCAGACTGTCCTTCCTATTCCTACGGTTCTCAGGACATTTTTCCTTTGGCGCCTGCCGGAGATCACATCCCGGACGGCAGCGTTCCCTCAGCATGTCCAGGTGCCTCTGCAACCTCGAGTGACCCGACAGAGGCCGGCTGCGAAAAAGAAGTCGATCGAGTCGATCTGAGGAGCTGACGCCTTCAGCTCTTGCAAGTAAGAAAAGCGAGTCGCTATGGTTTTGGTGACGCGGCTCGCGCTGGGCCTGAGCGAACTTTGGATCGCAATCTTTGTCTCCTCACTTTATAAAAAGGCTTCTGCCCATGCCATGTACTGCTTTCAAGCACCCTCACTGTTGAGACGCCGGCCCAGACAACTGAATCGGACCAGGATTCTCGTAGAGTTCCTCGTGAAAGTTCAACAAAACCCATGAACATTGTGGAAAGTCGCACATTCACCCCTCTCGTCAGCAATATCGACAAATCTGAGGCCCCCACTTCCCTTGCGCAGGAGGCTCGGACCTGAAAAGGACTCACATTCTCTTCTCGGTGCCTTTGCTAGGAGCCATGACTGGACTTGCGAAAGCCTTTGGTACAGCTGTGCGGATTATACCCACAGCCCAAACCGAACCCACATAACTTGTCACATTAGCACTTGTCGCTTCATCACGGCGAAACAACGCACTCGAATAGCAGGCACTAAACGCAAAATCCCGAACGGGAATTCCGATATTTGTAGCACAGGTTCATTCGAAGTCGCAAACTGTAAGATGCGACAGGCGACCTCCTTCCACTTTCTGAATGCCCCGCTCTCCAGCTCCACCTGTCGAAGCGATGTGCTGAGAGACTCAAAGCGCAAACGAAGAGCGATTAGTGCAGCAAAGCAAGTATAAACCATGTCATAATTAATTATGTATGGTATTCTTTGCTGGGGAGCTGGCAGGAAGCGTACACAGGTGTCCTTACTTAAACGGTAGTTCTGCCCGAGGTTTGAAAGCAGTGAATGTGGAAGCTTCTGAAGGCTGCTGTGCTTGTCCTCACTCGGCCTAAGGCCAAATGGCCTCGAGAGATCTGCGGGGCGATGTGTCTGTTTCACGGAGGATGCAAACCCCCACTCAACTTCAATTGCACTCGAGTCCATCTACACCACAACATAGGGAACATCCCACAGTGGCACTTGCTTGCACTGTGCAGCTGGACTCAAGACCCTGCGCGAGCCATGCCCAACTGCCAAGATTCACAGCCAGCATGCCTTGTGGGGGAAGATGCCCGGCCGGGGCCGGAAAGACTCCTTCGGCATGGTGGGTGGCACCTGGCATCAGCTTGGCTGGCTTGGAAAGAAAGCAGGATCATGCATGTTTGACGGGATGCTGCAACGCAAAATTGCCTCACAGCGGGTGCTCAACCCTGAATACAGCCAAACAAGTTTCAGCTCCTGCAGCATTGCCGTGAAAGGAACGCCGCCCACATGCCAGCCTGTTCAAGGTGATGGTCGGTCCGGGCACTCTCACGATCGATTGGGACCGAGAAGGCATGAAGACGGAGGCTTTGCCCGAAGCGCAGCAACGGTTTACCGGTGGACACCCGGGTACATGAGAAAGGGCGATCAAGATACACCAGAACGCTGAGCCGAGTCAGAGTCACACCAGCATGTCCCGGGCCCCATGTGCTGTCTAGCTACAATTGACTCCGCACCAAAGCATCACAGTTGCATTACAGTTGTCGACTACACCAGCACACGATTGCAGTAAAAACAGACTTGCCTGCGGCCAAACGGCCCGCATAATCGCGACGAGCGATCGGGCAAGATCAATTCCCTGTTCTGAGGCCCAGGCGCTCGACTGGCTGCGCCAGGTCAGAAACCACTGCCTGAAAGAAAGTTCTGAAGACTTGCAGATTTTTCGGCAGGCTTGGCTGCATGCTCAAATAATTCGTACAGCTGAATCAGTCAGCAAGTACTCACCAAAAGATGCCAAAAGCATGACGCAGGAATTCACATGCGAAGGCGAAGACATGTCAATGTAGCTAGGGCCCCACCATGTAGCCGTTGTGGCCCCTGGAAGTCAGGATGGCTGCACAGCCACCTGCAGAATCACGCTCTGCGCTACTCGAGCTGTAGTGTAAGCCTGAGAAGCGACAAAAGTACCGACACGCGAAATTCTTATGCCTGGTGCTGCCCTGCAGGCATGCATTTCTCCCATCAACGCTCATAAGCCCCTGGTTCATGCTGCAAGAGCCACCTAGCGCGTATGCATAGTCGCTGTCGAAGTCGGAAGGAACAGAGCAGCGAGCCTTCCCAATGCTGCGCAGAAGCGAAGCAAGCGCAGTAGAATCCAGTGGTCCAACACCAAACACACACAAAAGAAACAGTGACAGCTCAAAGGGTTCGACTTCGACTTCACTTGCAGGCTGCCGGGCACTGGCCTGGTAGCCGAGGAACTGACACACTGGTGAGAAGCTGCCCTTGAATGTGCCCTGCGAATCAGCACAGGCTGCTTGATCTGCAGACAAAGTTCCATCTGACTGGCTAAGCTCTTGCCAATGTGGCCAGATTCGGCCAGATTGACTGAGCCTGCTTCTTGCGACTCTTCAACTCGTCCTCGACCTTGGCGCAGAGTGTCACTGTCATCGAACGGCTTCAGTCAGAGAACTGGACCCTCGAATCTGCTGGAAATGCAAGCATAAACCTTCATGACGTTGTCGTCGCCCACTGAACATGATGATGCCAGAGAGGCTTGCCAAGTTTTGAGACGTCATTCTGCTGTCTTGCTGATGCCTGTGTGAGACAAGCAGGTCGTTGGGAGCATTTGTCGCTCTTCGTGGCGACAACCCCGCTGCAGATGCACATGGCAGTTTGCACGGCGCTGCAGTCAGTTCACGCTGTTTCGTCTGCGGTCTGGCAATGCCAACCCCACCACTTTGCCTTCGATCATCGACGGTCGATTCGCGCATGTGTTCCTTGCCTGCTCCTACAAGCACGACGAGTGGGTTGAGCCATGGGAAGCGATCACAGGCCGACCGCAGGATCCCAAGATTTCTGGGCCGGGGACGAGCCAGGCCATGAGCCGCTCAGTCTCAAGTTGCGACAGCTGGAGGGCGGCATTGCTCTGCCTGTCTCCGTGTCGGTACCAAGGGACTTAAGGCTGGTTTAGCGCCTCGCCAACAACAGCTGCTTCTGAATGAACTCTGGAAGGCTCTGGAAGAGCGCAGCTGACCTCACTTGAAAGCGTTGGACATGTGACGTGTATCTGCTTTGTCAAGTTCTGCTCTCGCTGACTGAGGCTGGCTGGCTTATAACTTCCGAAGACAACCGAGGAACCCCTGTTGGTCACTCGCAAGGACCGGACCACGTGGTCAATTTCGGCAGTACCTGCCAGAAACCGGTGTGATCGAATCCGGAAGGTGCCAGGGTGGCAAACACCGGCGCGTGCAGCAACTTCTAGACCAGGCAAGCCTTCTCCACCGTGCTCGGCATGGGCAGGGCCTGACCAGAGTCAGGGATGAAGCCCCTGCTGGGCCATCACAGTCACATGGAATCAGCCTCCAGCTCGGTGATCAGTGTGCGGAATTCAGGAATGGCTGCCTGCACGCTGCTTGAAAGCATGGACGACAGCCGACAACCCGCAAGCAACATCGAAGCGGACTGTAGTGAGGTGCAGGCCAGCAGGCCCTCTGCGACAAGGACGGTTCCTGCATGGAGGCTCTAGCAACAAGCTGGGGAAGCCTTGGGGCAGCACAGGACTCTTCCGAAGCTCCATTAGGGTCCCAGCCAAAGTTCTTGCCAGAAATTGCGCGCTCAGAGACAACCTTGGTTGGGACTGACTGCAGATGACTTTTAGCTCTTGGAGCTTGGTCTGTGCTGGACATCCAGGTTTCCGACATCGGCTATGTCGCTAACCAGTTCTCTGAGCGATGTCCGGTGGTCGTCAACCTGCTCCGGCACACCCCGGCACGACCGCGCCGGAACAGCTCATTGATCGTCCGCAGACAATTGCAGGGGAGAGAAATGTTGGCGAACTTTCTGCCTCCTCTGTCA